CCCTAGTCGCTACTCACTGCTTACTACTCGCTACTCCCTACTCGCTACTCACCACTCATTAATCACTACCCTCTACTCACTGCGCACTATTCACTACCCACTCCTCGCTACTGTTTACTCCCTCATCCCTGCTCTTGCTTCCTACTCACTATGTACTACTCACTACACATTACTCACTCCTCCCTACTCACTACTCAAAATTCCTTACTCACTACTTCCTTCCCGCTACTCACTACCCACTACTCACTACTCACTAATCTCTACGCGCTACTCACCACGACCACTACCCATTACCCACTCATTACCCACTACTCACCACTCACCACTCACGACTCACTGCGCACTACTCACTATTACATACCCGCTACTCACCAATCGCTACTCAAAACACTCTGCTCCCTACTCACTACCCGAGAGGCCCCCTCCCCAGCCCCCTGTTCGGTGCAAAGGGTGGGAGGGGGGGGGGTTCGAACACCCCCCCCCCTTGCCAGCGCCAAGGGGGAGGGGGGAGGAGGGGGGCGGGTCGAAAATCTCACCCCCCCTTTGAAGGGGGGAGGGGGGGGGGGTTCTGCGAGCACCCTCCCCCTTTTGTGTATTCAGGGCCATCCATTGGATCGTTTTCCGACTTAATCCTAGATGGGGTCGGAGCAGATAGGGGTCGGAGGATCGCGCCGCATCGCCGATGCATCGGTGATGCACAGGCGATGCGCCGCAGAGGCATCGTCGACGCCGGCGATGCCTCGGCGATGTCGACGTGCAGACACTTGGGCTGCACATCGAGCCGCATCGCCGATGCATCGGCGGTGCGGCGCGATCCTCCGACCCCTATCTGCTCCGACCCCATCTGGGAGGCCCAGATTGCCCTTCTCTAGCGCCGCTGAGCTGCGCGCGGACTGGGCAGCCATTTCCAGACCCGCCCTCCCGTCCTTGAAGACGTCGAGCACAAAACCGAGCTGCCTGCGGCGCGCTCAGGCCAACAGATGGGAGGGGAGGAGGAGCGCGAGAAGGAGAAGGAGGGAGGGAAGGAGGGAAAAAGAGAGAGAGGAAGGCGGAGAGGGAAGAAAAAGAAGAGGAGGACCAATGCAAACGAAAGACGCGTCGACGATGTTGCAAGAAACCCTCCCTCCAAATACCCTCGGCGTACGTCCCTGTGATAATATATTTTCACTGCGGGAGGTGCCCCGTTGTAAGACAACCGTCTGAAAACCCTCAGTCGTGTCAAACACAACTCCTGGGCCTCCACGCCGAGAATCAATTTTACTGTTGCGTCTTGATGGCCCTGAATCGGACCAGAAAAACTCTTGCTGGAACCTGAACGCCGCGAATCAACGTTACTGTTGCGCCCTGACAATCTTAAATCGTGCCGGGACACTGTTCTTGGAACGTCAACCGTGCATATTCTTGACTCTGCGGTTAATTGTGAAACGGGTGTGCGTGACGCTAAAGCGAAACGAACACAACATTTCTGGAAAACGGGGTCGCCCTCCATCCAAGACCATGCTGCAAACTTGTAATACGAATGTGCGCTGCGCCGTATCGAGAACCACATTTTGAAAAGGAACCGCCGTCCATCCGTGAAGCTATTGCAAAATTCTAGAAAGAACGTGCGCGGCGACACAGCGAGAACCACATTTTGGAAAGGAACCGCCCTCCATCTGTGAATCTCCTGCAAACTCAATGACGAATGTGCGCGACGCCAGAGCGAAAACAACATCTTGGAAAGGAATCGCCCTCCACCCGGCGAAACGCTTGGACCGCCCTGCCGACATGTCTCAGGGTGCGACGAGAATTTGCAGAAGAAGGGATCGAGGTCGAGGAAGCGGGTCGGGAGCGGCCAAGAGGGGGGTGTCCAAGAGGGGCGCAAATCATGGCCGGCGGCATGTGCGCGGCGGGGGGGGGGGGCAGGGACATAATGAGATAGGAAGAGGCGCCCCGTGAATTCTGGGAAAATATCAAGGCCCACATCATGATATCCACCCCCCCTTCGTCATCACCCCCCTCTTGGCCGCCCCCGAGCGGGGGGGAATCCAACATTCGCGGGCATTCCGGAATATCCCCCCCAAGAAGGCCACGCAGAAATCAATGCTTGCCAGCATCGACAAAGCGCAGCCCGCGAGCACCCAAGCGGGAGGGCGCGGGCCGCAAAAGGAAAAAAGAGAGCGATTCGTCGGAACCCGACTCGTCGTCGGGAGCTGCAGTACTCGCTCGAGAGCCTCGTGCTCGTCCGCCAACTCTTCCTCCCTCTCCTCCCCCAGTGAGCGTTTTCTTATTCGGCGTTTCGACATTGGGCGGAAGGGGGGGGGTCTGGTTCCGGAGCACAACGTTTCCGATGGGGGAGGGAATCCGCCCGCTCGAAACAGGCGCCAAAAAACAGCCAAGATCTACTCCATGGGGGGGAGGGGGGGGGGGGGCCGCGGGTCCGCGCCGATCGGCAACACCTACTGTGCAGAGCTTTCCTCTCTGATTGCGCATCCCACGATGTGGTCCGTGGGGGCTCAGGTCCGCTGGGACACCCACCAGCGGATAGAGATGAAACTTGAGCGCAATGGAAGGAATTGGCCAGAGTGCCCGCTCGAGGGGTGGAGGAGTTGCGTCGCCCTCCTCCTCCTCCTCCTCCTCCTCCTCCTCTTCCTCCTCCTCCTCCTCCACCTCCTCCTCCTCCTTCTCCTTCTCCTCCCCCTCCTTCTCCTCCCCATCCTTTTCCTCCTCCTCCTCCTCCTCCTCCTCCTCCTCCTCATCCCCCTCCTTCTCGCCCTCCCCCCTCCTCCTTCTCCTCCTCCTCGTCCCCCCCCTCCCCCCCCCAGAAGGAGACGGGACCCAATGGACCCCCCAGGGGGCCCTCCCCAGGGCACGGCCCCCGCGTCCCGAGCCGAGCTGTCCGAGACAGCGCCCCCAAGGGTCAGGCGCAAAAAGAGGGCCCCCCCTCCCACGGAAGGGAGGGCCCGGGAGTGGCGGCGAGGCACTCCCCTCCTCCTCATCTTCCTTCATTCCTCCTCCTCCTCCTTCTCCTCCTCCTCTTTCAGTCTTCCTCCTCCTCCTCCTCCTCCTCCTCCTCCTCCTCCTCCTCCTCCAAGACGCGCTCCCTGCTCGGGGACGCACTTCGGCGGCGAGCGAGGGGGGAAGTTCGGGATCCATCAGAAAGGGGGGTATGAGTTCGATCCGCTGGTGCACCGAACTGCCGCAAACAGATGCTCCCCGCATGCCCCACCTGCAACTATCGGGAGCTGTCTGGGGCTGGGGGGCATCTGTATCGGGCGGTTCGGTGCAACAACCGATCGAACTCACGCACACCCGGGGCACACACCCCCTTTGCGGGACCCCGAGAAATGAGAATGGAAAGGCCCTCTTAGAAGGCGGCGGGTCTTCTGTGTCTTCGGGGAAGCCTGAGGAACCTTCTCAGAAGGCCGTGGGACTTCAGGACTTTCTGAGAAAGCCCGCCCCCCCTCACTTCCCCCCCGGGCTGACCGCCGAGCACTGGCCCAGGTCGGTCGGGCTTACGCAGGATCCTGCGCGCCAGCCCGGGCCGATGCAGCCCTGGCTCTGCCGGATCTGGCGCTCTGGCTGACCCCTCGTTTGCACGGACCCCCGCCTCTCGAGGCTCCCGAGAGGAACTCCGGGACACGCTCCGTGCCCGGAGCCAGCCCGAGCCGGCGGCGGCGAAGATCCGACGCCCCCCCCTGGTCCGTGTCCTCGGGGGCGCTGTGGCACGTCGAGTCCCCATGCCCGCAGCAATGCTGGCGCTCCAGGGTGCCGGGCCCTGTGGGTCGCACAATCCGCCGAAGGCCTCCCCCGAGATCCGACGTCGCGAAGAAGTTGCAGCACCGTGAAGAGTCACGGCCAGAGCCCCAGACCGTGCTCTGGATTTCTTGAGAAGCGTGGAGGGGCACCCCCCCGACGGGGGTCAATTTCGCCTCGTCGTCGCGCTGCGACGAGGGTCGGAGCGCCTTCGGCGCGCGGTGGCTGCCCGCGACGGGGGTCGATGTGGGGCTGTCGGCGGGGGTGACGCCCCCCCGACGCTTGTCAAGAAACTCGGAGTAGCTTTCTGCTGCATTTTTCGGGCTGGATCGATCTGTGGAGGTCCCCGAGCCCGAGACGGGACGACCACGCTCGGTGCGAACAAAAATGCAGCGCCCGGATCTCGAGTTGGGCGGTGCTTCATTTTTTGTTGTTTTGTTCCAGCTGGCGCAATGGGCCGACAGGTGCATCGCTCAGAGACAAAAGCACTGGCATCTAGGGCGGGTTGGACAAGCTTGTGCGGCCATTTGTCATCCTCGCATCGGGGTGCTGATTCGGTGGGTCTGTTGTGGGACTGATGGGTCCGAGAGAGAGAGAGAGAGAGATAAAAAGGAATAACGAAAGAAAGACAAGAGAGAGAGAAGACAGAGCGAGCAATGATCTGCGCGCTTGGTCTTCTCAATGGGCCAAGAGAGTGATCCACGGGAGTCCCACGGCAACTTCTGTAAAAGCGCGCTGCCGCAGCCACTGCCTTTTTCGGCAGAGGTAGCCACGCTGGCGCCAGATCGAATGACCGCCTGCTGCTGTGTCGCCGACACCACGGATGCGGCTTTCTGAGCCAGACGGGCCGTGGGCGAATGGAACAAAACTAGTATGGCGGTGGCATGCAAAGGAGGAGTGATGATGAGGTAGCTGCCCGAACGATAGCAGAGGTTGTCTGGCAACGGCATGTTCAAGCCACCCCGGCTTGCCGCACCCACATGCCAGGCTGGCGCTTGCGAGAAAACCAGACAACTTCAACTCGAGGAATGGCGCTCTTCGCTGCGACGCTAATTCGCCCGTGGCAGGACGTGGCACCAAGCTTTCAACGGGGGGACATATGCAGGCGCGGATCACTTGGGCAACAGCCTCCCGTGTGCGTCGATTCTGTGCTATGCCCCCCCATCCCCGGATTTCTATCCAACGATCTCGTGGCCCCCGCCCGGCTTCCAGCTGGCTCACCCTTGCGGAAGCACTGCCAAGCCAACGCTCTGTGCAGGGTGTTCTCACGGCTCTCTGTCCTCCTGGTCCGAGGTCCAGAGCGTCAGATTGTCGCGAATCAGCTGCATGATTAGGGTGGAGTCCTTGTACGAGTCCTCCCCGACGTTGTCAAGCTCGGCGATCGCGTCCTCGAAAGCGATGCGCGCCATCTTGCACGCCTCGTCCGGATTCCCAACCACCTCGTATAGGAACACTGAGTAGTTCAGAACAAGACCGAGGCGGATCGGATGTGTCGCTGCCAAGTCCTTGGTTGCCACCGCTTGCGCTTCCTGATAGGCAGATTGGGCGTCATTCGAAGCCTTTGTCTTGACATCGTCGGTGGTGTATTCGGCAATGTAGCGATAGTAGTCGGCCTTCATCTTCTGGTAAAATACCTTGGACTCGACTGTCGTTGCCTTCCCGATCAGGCCGTCGTCCAACAGAGCAAGGATCTGCTTACAGATGGAATCGAGCTCAGTTTCCACCTTCTTACAATACTCCTTCGCCCACTGTGCGTTCTCATCGTTGCCCCTGCTGAGCTCTTTCTGCTCCACGCTAGTGATGATGCGCCACGCCGCGCGGCGCGAACCCACGGCGTTCTTGTAGGCCACTGACAAGAGATTGCGCTCTTCAACCGACAACTCGTCCCCCGACTTCCCCACTGCCTCCATGTGGGTCGCCATCTCGTCGTAGCGCTCCGCCTGCTCCGCGAGCTTCGCGAAGTAGACCTCCTTCTCGCGAGCCGCCGCCATGTTTACAGCTGGCGCTGTCCGTGCGAGGTGGGCTCGCGGCCACAGCCTGCGTCGGCCACAACGATTTGGCTGCGCCAGGGCGGCTTGAACCCGAACGACTTGAGCCAAAATGGCTACGGGGTCGGGCGGTGCTTCATGGCAGGGCTGGACCTAAACGTTGTTTATCATTTTGTTTTCGTTCTGCTATTCGTTTTGCTCTACCTGTTTTCCTGTACCTCCCTGTCAAAACGAAAAACAGAACATAGCCGAAGTCCAGCAAACCAGCGTTTAGTTTTAGCCATGCTTCATTGGGGGGCGACAACTGGGGGGAGGAGAAGCGTCCATTTAGAGGCACACGAGGTGCACCTTTCTTCACCCAGATTTTGGAAAAGGGGCGGCAGAGATTGGGTGAACCTCCACGTAGACAGAGGCCGCGGCCCTGGTAGTGATGGTGACTCCTGGGAGGAAGAAGCCTCCGAGCCCGATCGAGGTTAGTGATTTTGTTGGACTGTCCTGGAGACCACACGCGACGACACCTGTCTGCACCCCCCCAACACTTCCATTGCCCCCCCATTACGCAACGCCCGGGCGGCGACCCCCCGTCGCAAGCGTGGGCCTCCTTGTGGTCGTGGTCGTCGTGATCATCGCCGCCGTGGTCGGTGTCGTCGTTGCCGTCGTCGTCGTCGCCGTCGTCGTCGTCGTCGTCGTCGTCGTCGTCGTCGTCGTCGATGTCGTCGCTGTCGTCGTCGTCGTCGTCGTCGTCGTCGTCGTCGTCGTCGTCGTCGTCACTGTCGCCGTCGCCGTCGTCGTCGTCGTCGCCGTCGCCGTCGCCGTCGCCGTCGCCGTCGCCGTCGCCGTCGCCGTCGCCGTCGTCGTCGTCGTCGTCGTCGTCGTCGTCGTCGTCGTCGTCGTCGCCGCTGCCGTCGCCCCGGCGAGCCGCGCGCCTCTGACGCTCGGCGTCCGTGTACAGCTCAATGACCTGCGTCCTGGACAGGCCCTGGGCGGCCGGGGCGGGGAGGGGCGGGGGCGTGCAGAGGTGGCTCAACGACCCAGATTTTCCTGGGAGTCGACGATGAGTTTGTGTGTGTGTGTGTTGTTCTTTTCCACTCTTGAGGAGCGCCGACCTGGAAATCAGCGATATTAAAAACCCGACGGATGAGCGGTAAGCCCCCGACAGTGGAACCGTAGGCTCCCGGGCGGGGTGGGCTATCGGGCCACTCTCGGCGATCAATGGGAGATTGTCGGTGGGCGCGTAAATCGGCGGTGGACAAACCTCCCTTGAGTAAACCTCCCTTCAGTGAAAACGGCCTGGGACCGAAACCGACGGACCTGGACCTGCAACAATGACGGCCGCGACGCCTTCTCGCGAACCGAAAACGGCCAATTCGCTAATCGACGTGTCAGGGTAGGAGGTCTGTCCACCCCCGAAAAAAGATGGATTTGCGATCCATGGATGTGGCACGCGGTCGCCACATCCATGGATCGGGGGAGGTGCCCTCCCCAAAACGCGGCTGGTGCCGCCCCGCTCGGCGGCGGAAGTCCGCGATCTCCCATGGAAACGGGACCCGCCGCTAATCTTAGGTCGGGCATGTCCCCCTACAGGCGGAGTTTGACCACCAAAATGAAAAAATGCTAACCAAAATCGTCCCCTGACTATTTTTTGAATATTTTTGAATATTCCTCCTGCAGAGGGACACGCCCGACTGAAGGCTAATCCACGCCCCCCTGGTCCATGTTTTTGGACGCCCGAAATGGGTATCACAGCGCTTTGAACAGCAACTCGCTGCGCCCAGGCGACGCTTCCAAGCTCGCCGGAGCCCTGCGATGGGCGTCCACAAATATGTTCCATCGCCTGGGCAGGGCCACCATCGTGCCCCTGTGCCGTCAAGCCAAACAGAGTCGGGCCAACGTGTCCGAGCCACTCCGCGACACTCTCCGCTGGTGGGACGAGGTCCTTGCCCTTGACTTGCACGACAAAAAGCAGTGGCTCTGCCTCAGCGGCCCTCCGGTCCAATTATTTGTGGATGCAAGGAGCACTCCGCCGAGAGTGGCGGCGGTGCTCATGCATGATGAACAGATCTACTTTGCCGACTGGGAGCCGCCCCGCAGCTTGATGAGCTGCTTTAAGCAGCGGGCGGACGGGATGATCATGTCCCTGGAGCTGCTCGCAATTGCCTTCGGGCTCTGAGTTTTGATCACTTCTTGCAGCGCCGCAAGGTCAGGGTGTGGAGCGACAATGTAGGCGCCGAGGCCGTGACCAGCAGGGGGTCGTCCAAAGGACTATTCCTGCCTGGTAAACTGCCTGTAACTCAAGGCAGCCCAGCAGCAGATCGCCCTGCGGGTAGACAGGATCCCCTCCAAACTCAACATCGCGGATCTTCCTTCCCGCGAGGAATCTGACTTGCTAGCTTTGGTCGGCGCTGTGCGCGTGCCACCTGTGCTCGACGGTCCCTTCTGGGAACCCACGCCGTGGTCAGCCCTGTCGGCGGCGACCGCGCGGCTAAAATGAAGGCCGCCAATGCTGCCAGCGAGCGTCGAGCGAAGGCGGCGCAGCGGGGTTGGCCGCGGCTCGCGCAGTGCCACAGCTGGCACCTGCGCAGGGCGTCGGGGATCGCGCGGCGCACGCGCAGTCCGCCGACCAGCGGGCGAGCGGCGGCTCTTCGCAGCCATGGACGTGACTCGCGCGGTGGCGTCACCGCATTTTATTCAATGTTTGCAATCGCTGGCCCCGGCTCGCGAAGCGAGGGGCATCGCGCTTGCTCCGGCGATTTTGTCAGCCAACGGATTCCGGGCCATCGAGGAATTGGTCGGGGCTTGCGCGTCCGACCTGAACGGCCACGGGCGCCCTCTCGGGCTAGGCTTGTGTTCCCTCATGGCGGAGTTCATTCGCCTCGCCGAAGTTAGGCGGTGGACCGCAGGTGCCTCTCTCTCGGCGCCCGTCGCTCGCCGCGGGCGCCATTGCTGCGCGGGCACGTGCGGCGGGGCGCGACCCGCGGCGGCTCTGCGAAGATCTCGCAGCCCAGTGCAAGGTGAGGCGAGGCCGCTGTCGGCAGCATCATTCAATATCCTGGATACAATTGGGGGCGCCATCGCCGCGGCGACAGCCGGCGAGGGGGGCGACATCGCACCAGCGGCGTTGTGCTCAGGCAAAGGGCCGCGCGCCCCTACAGCGTCGCTGCAAGGCCAACTGCGCGCGCCAGCGGCTCGCGCCAATTGGGTCGAAAGGGAGCGCGCGCGGTCGCTGCTGGGCTCATGCCCCCTGTCCGTTGCAAGCTTGCGAAGCGGAGTGCGATGCTGGAATGGGTTCTGCGAGGGCGCCCTGGGCCTCGGCGGCGCCCAGATCCCGCCCGCCCTCGATTCTCCATTGGCATGGGCGCCCCTCTTTCGATGTTCTCCATTGGCATGGGCGCCCCTCTTTCGATGCAGCGGAACGTTCGCGCATTGTCTGAACTTCGTGCGCGCCGTGTGCATGCTCTGCAGCGCGGACACGGCAGTGTTCAAGGCGCCCGAACTAGCGCGAGCTCGTACTGCTATCAGGCGGTTGCGGGGCGCGCAGGGCGGTCGCGCCCAGGTCGCGCGGTCTGTCGGCGCGCGCAGGAAGCGACGGCTGTTTGTCCCACGCAAGAAGATGTATAGCAGGCACGGCATGGTCGCGCGCATGTTGAAACTAGCTTTGCGCGACGCCGACCTGAGAGAGACGCAAGTAACGTGCCAACTGGCGTGTCGTTTCTTGCTGCGCGCCCCATCGGAGGCAACCCCATGCGCGCGGGGCGCGACCGAGCCCGTGGGCGGAGTGCAGTCCTGCCTGTACGTCGCCGGGGACGAACTGCGGCTGCGTTTGGCCAGCAGAAAGAATGTGCCGTCGGGCGCCGAGCTGGTCCGCGGTTGCTGGTGCGCAAAACATCCAGAAACTTGCCCTGTGCACGTGCTCGTCAAGATTGCAGCGACGCGTGCCTGGGGGCAGAAACTATTCCCGAGCTTAACGCCTGGCAGGGCGCTGCGGTTCCTGCGGAGGATACTGACCATGTTGTCTGTCTCCGAAGCACAACTGTATCGGTCTCATGACCTGCGCCGCGGCCGCGCGCAGGCTCGGGCCTCGCGCCCGTTCGCGCGCTGCGACCGCGGGGGCGCACAGGACATGTTTGAAGGTGGCAGTCGCCTGGTGTCGATTCTAAAGGCTGGGCAGTGGCGTTCGCCTGCGCTCCTGCAGTACATTCATACTCAGGACCTCGAATCCGGCGCCGTGCTGGAGGCGCGATGCGTTCCGCATTTAGGCGGTCCGTAATGCGCTCGTCGCTCGCAGGCGCATTTGGACGAGTCTTCCAGCAGCGAGTCCTCGTCCGATTCGTAAGTCCTGGCGGTGCATCGAGCCGCAGCGCACTGGGGCGTCCTCCGCTTGGGAGGTCAACGTAAAGCGGCTTCGTGCCTTGCCTCGCCCCTGCAGGCGCATGCAGCGGGGGGTGGTGCGCCTCTGGGGCAAGCGCCGCCCGAGCCACCAGGGCCACGATCTGGCGTCGGGTTCGTCGCGCCCCTGGCGTGTCGGGCGTCGCTGCGACGCGCGTCGGGGCGACGCTCGGGGCGCCGCACCCCATGTTTTGGGAGCGGCGTTCCCCTGGGCCGCGGAACGGGCCTCGGTATCCCTCTGCCCTCCCACGGCGCGTGGGGCTGGCATTTGTGATGAGCCCACAAACTCGGGGACAGTGCTCGCACTGTCGCTGCGTTTGTGGGCTTGCACGAATGCCGCTCCTGCGTCTGCCCTGTTCCCCTGCCTTCTCCTCGTCCTCGGGACGGGGGGCGGGTCGGGGTGCAGGGCCGTGGGTGGGGGAGGGATGCTGGTGCTGCTCTGCCTGTGCGGCTGCCGTTTTTGCGCTCCTGCATTCTCTTGTCCGCGGTCCGCCCATGTGCGGCCGCTGGCCTGTTGGCCGATGTTGTGAAGCTGGCGGGCACTTGTCCCGCTTCGCTGGGCCACCGCACCGTGATGCGGGTGGCGTTGGGGCGGCCTCAAGGGGCCCGTCCGTGCGCGCGGTTGTGCTCGCTGTGGGTTCGCCTCTCTGGGGAGGGGGCCCCGCGAGGCCCGTGGCGTGCACGCTGCCCATGCGAGGCCGCGTGCCGCGTTTTGTCCCGCCCGCCCGCGCCCTGGGGGTTCTTCGCGCCCCTGGCGTCTCGGGCGTCGCTGCGACGCGCGTCGGGGCGACGCTCGGGGCGCCGCACCCCATGTTTTGGGAGCGGCGTTCCCCTGGGCCGTGGAGCGGGCCTCGGTATCCCTCCGCCCTCCCACGGCGCGTGGGGCAGGCATTTTTTTTTGTTTTTTTGTTTCGTAATCTTCGCCAGGCGATCCAGGATGCTCCTCGAGGGACTTCGCCGAGAGCAAGATGCGCACGTCCTTCGATGCCAAGATCTTGTTCGCACCGGGCGTGTTCGCCCAGCGTCGGGCCCCAGGGCCCTCACATATCGATCTGGCTCGAGAAGTAAGTGACGCACAGGGGTGGGGCCCAGGGACTGGGTCTTGGTTTTTCATGGTGTTGCATCTTGTTCGCCACGTCGGATCTCAGGGTCTTGCTCCCAGAAGGGGGGCCGGCCGACACGTCGGCGGCCCTCCCACCCGCACATACCGCACCTCCATCCCCTTTTCCTCTGCTTCTCCTCCTTTTCCTCCTGCTGCATCTCCCCCTCCTCCTCCTCCTCCTCCTCCTCCTGCTGCATCTCCTCCTCCTCCCCTTCTCCTTACGCCTGCCTCCTCCTCCTCCTCCTCCTCCTGTGCACCTCCCTCCTCCCCCTCACTTCTTCCGCTGGGGCAGCCGGCGATGGCTCCGCTGGCCCTCTGCTACTGCTGCTGCTGCTGCTCATCGGGGAGGGCGCTTCAGGCTTCTGGACCCTGGCGCCTCGCAGACGAAGCAGACGTGTGGGGCGGCTGGCCGTTCGGAACTCGTGGCCTCCAGGGGTCGCGTCTTCGCCCGAACACCGTCGAGACCAACGAGTCGAAGAGGACAAATGCCC